CGACCCGGCACGCTGGGGGGGGCAGAGCCCACCACGACCCGGCACGCTGGGGGGCAGAGCCTGCCACGACCCGGCATGCTGTGGGGGGGGCAGAGCCCACCACACCCCACGGACACTGGGAGTCCTGGCGTGAACACTGTCCTTTCCCTGAAAGATGGGGCCATGTGGCTTTGCGATTCGTAGTCTGTGAACCGGGACAAGTGTGCTATGGGCGGCAAAGCTGGGACCCGCTGTCAGGAAAGCTCTGCTCCTGAGAGCCCTGGGGCTTGGCCCGCCCTGCCCTGTAGGTTCCAGGGCGGGGATCATGAGCCGAGCTGCCCACCCCATGTTGGGCTCGGGCAGGTGTGGGGAGACCCTGGTAGTCTCCTTACGATCCCCTTGTTCGTCTGTCTTCACATCTCCCTTCTCCCCCGGCTCCCCTCCCTGCCCCCTGGCAGAAGCCCTCAGCCCTGCCCCTGCTCCTGTGCAGGGCCCTCTTCCAGGAAGTCCTCCCAGCACCACGCTCCTCTCTCTGGGCATGCACACTGCTGAGCCCTGGGCTCCACTCCAGTGGGCCACGTCCAACTGCTTCATGAGCCTCCCCCTCCTCAGAAACATGCGACACGCACCCCACCCCTCTGCCTCCCGAGGGCCGGACACCACGTCCCTCCTGGAGAAGCCGGGCACCGGCCCCACGGGGCTCACGCACGGAGGCAGCTGTGCTTACCTTGAGCACGTGGTACCAGGCAGAGGCACCGCCCGAGTCGATGTGGAAGTCGGTGTAGCTGTCCTTCACACAGATAAGGCAGTACTTGGTCACCTTGGGCTTGGCCAGCAGTGCGTCATCGGGCCAGCAGTTCTCCACCCACGACAGCTTCTTGACGATGTCAGGCGGCTCCACGAAACTGGACATCCTGGGGCAGACGCAGGGGGAGGGGCGCCAGTGGCCCGACATCCGCCAGGCCACCCGACCGGGAAGGGGCTCCGAGATCGCGTCCCTCCTCGCGTGCCGCGTCTCTCACCTATCTGTCCACCCCGGGCCACGTGGCACCACCCCCATCCCACAGACAAGCAAACTAAGGTTCATGGGGGCAGAAGGAGCCCAGCTGCCGGGCGTCGCCGCGCCAGGATCGAACACCGGTCTCTCACGGGGAACGGGGGACAGCCCTTCGCTGCAGAGCTGGAAGGGACTGTCCGGGCTGGCCCAGAAGGGTGCTGCCGGGCACGGTGCAGCAGGCGGCAAATGGCCCGTCTCACACGCAGCCCAGGCGCTCCCAAGCATCGCTTGGAGAAAAGCAGCTGCTTTCCAGAGCAGGCCACGGGGGCTGGTGGTCACCGTCAAGCCAGCGGACTCCTTTCCAAGGTGGACATGGAAAAGCAAAGGTGCCCTCTCCGATGAAATGTCACCATCCTGACTAAAACGCACAGGTCTGCATCACCATCGTGCAGGGACAGCCCGGCGTCCTCGCTGCTGCAGGAGGGGCAGAACCGCACGGCTCTCCACCGAAGTCCGTGCCCGCAGGACGAGACCGTCACGGCCCGCACGCCCAGCCCTGCCACCCCGACCTCAGCGACCTTCAACTCTCCGGCATGTCCCCAGCTGGTGTCCCTCCCTGTTCCCCAGTGCCCTCCTCGACCAGCCCAGGCCCCTGGTGGCCCCAGACCCTCCACGGCCACAGGAGAGGGGCCCGGCCCTGCAGCCCCAGGGCCCTCTGCAAACCACACACCAGGGCTTCCCAACACGGCCACAAATGCCCTTCTTTCCCTGCTTGATGGCTCCTCGGGTGCAAAGCCAGCCCGTTCTCCTACCGCCAAGACCAGCTGCTCCCTGCATTCTCCCAGGGTGGAGGGGCGGTGTCCCAAGGCCCCCAGACACCTGGGGCCAACGTGGGTGACGTGCAGAGGTAACCATGTATGTCCACATAACAGACAGCAGGCACATCACTCTCCATCTGTCACAGCAGGTGCCTCTGGGGTCAGGGGACGTGTGAGTCACTGCAGGATCCCCGAGGCCACACACCCTGAGATCCCCACAGATGGCCTGTGGGGTCAGGCCCAGCCCTTGCAGCCCCAGCCAACAGCCCCGGGGACAGACCACACTGATTACATGGAGGCCTCCCTCTGCCTCTCAGACGGTGTAGACCAGAGCCCCAGCTGCTCGACGGCCTGGCGGGAAGTGTGCGTGACCCCGTGCTCCTTGGATCGGGCCTGAGGACACCAGAGGCACCACACATTTTCTGCCAGCAAAGGGGGGGCCCCGAGAAGCCCAAGGGGAAACCCCAAGCCAAAGCACCCGCTCCCCCCAGCTCTGCCACCCCGCGGCTCTCTGTGAAGACCCCAGGCTGCTCAGCAGACCAAGCTGATGGCGACATTCCCGAGTGTGCACTCTGTACAAAAGCAACACGCCATCACAACCCGCCTGGGAGAACGTCCTTCTTGTGAACTCGCAGGAGGCGGCTTTCTCCCGATACCGTAACCCGTCCTATTTCCCTTTGTGTCTTTGCTGTCAGGAAGCTCACACAGAACCCAGCATCCAGGCCCAACATCCTGTCGGGGCTCCTGGAACAGCTCTGTACTCTCTGTCTCCATGAGGCTTCCAGAAACTCTTTTTCCTACCCGCCCTTCTGCACACGAGCTATTTGGCTATGTGCTGAGCTTTTCAGAAGTAGGCAAGATGGAAAGCCTCCAAAAGTGAAACCACGCTTAAACTAGACCATTGTCAACAACTCAGGCCTTAAGGTGCATGAGGGGCCAGCCGGAGAGCAGCAGGGATTTGACAGAGGGGCAGGAAAGGTGGGGCCACGCAGAGCCGTGGTCCCGGGAGAGCAGGGGCACAGGGACTGGGGGCAGGGCCAGCCTCCGACGACACAGAAGCCTGGACTTAGGCGGTCCCCAGACAGCCACGGTGCATCATCCACAGCGCATCTGCCGGCCCCTCCGCCCTGAGAAGAGCAGCAAGCTGGGCAGGCCTGGCACACGGAGCTCAGGCTGAGAAGGGGCAGGGCGGGGGGGAGAGCAGGCGCACAGCACGACCCTGCGGTGCTAAAGGTGTGAATTCGAGAGTGCGCCCGTGATGTGTGCAGGCACGTGGGCCAGCAGGTATGGATGTGTGCGTGTGGAGGGACGTGTGGGAGCGTGTGCACCGTGCGTGGGTGTGGCTGTCTGCACGAGTGCGTGAGTGTGAGCTCCTTCTGGGGAGTGGGATGGGGGCCGGCTGGAGGGGGAGTCGGCGTTTTGCTGCTTATCTTCTGCTTGAACTTGTCACAATGCGTAAGAAGAGAACCCGCAAGCTAACGCCGCGGGCGGCTCGCAGGCAGCTGGCGGGCGGCGGCCCCGGGGCTGGCGGGCGCTCACCTGGTGTCGGAGAACTCAAGGCTGGTGAGGTTGAGAACCCGCTTGCGGTTGGTGCTGTAGTAGTAGTCCACAAACTCCTTCAGCTTCATCTTGCAGTCCTTCTGCTTGGCGACGTCTGTCACGTCCACGCTCCGCTCTGGGCCTGCGGGCAGGGCAGGGGGCAGTGAGTGGGGCAGGAGGTGCCGGGGAGGCCGCCAAGCGGGGCTGGACCCAGAGGCTCGGGCTCTGACGTCCACCGTGCGTGCCCGCTCCCTCGGCCATGGGGAGGGTCCTGGGGCGCGGGAGGCCGCTGACATGCTAGGGCGTCAGCTAGGGTGGCCGTGAAGGCGAATGAAAACACAGGACGCAGGCACCCTTGAACTTCAGACAAGCAAACGACAAATATGTTGGTAGTCTAAGCACAACCCAAATGATGCTTGGGACATGCTTATGTTTTAAAATTTTTAAAAATCAAAAAACTCCTACATTTCTAAGGCACCAGCTTATTCTGAAAATGGATAAGTTAAAGGAAAAACATTTTTCTTGCATTTTCGGTAGTTGATGAGGAAAAGATCAGGGTAAGAATCGCTGGTGACAGGAGGTTCCAGATAACCAAGGACCTGGCGAGGGCAAGCGTGCCCCATCCGACTCATAAGTAGCAGTGGGAGAAAGACGCACAGAACTCACGGCCTCGTCCTTCCCGACGGTCCGCCGGGGCCGTGCAGACCCCAGCTGTGGACACAGAGACGAGGCGGGTGGCCAGGCTCCGGGGCCCTCAGACGGGAGTGCCACCGCCCGCACCCCCGAAGGAGTCCCGCTGTCCACCCGACTGCAAATCTGAGCGTCTGCCCAGGCGGTGCGGGAACCACTGGGGACACAGGAGCAAGTTACGGGACACACTGGGGGCCACATACCCCGTGTGGGAGGTTCTAGGACCAACAACCCCGGTCCTCCAACAACCTCGGGAGAGAGGAGAGGCCGATGGGCATAAACACCAAATTCGGTGTGTGATTCACATGGCCCGCCCGGAAGGCACGTGCCGGGCCCCTGGGGTAACTGAGGCAGGGTTCTGGTGTGAATAATCAGCTCCGTGAGTGCTGCCGAGCGCAGGCCTGGCCTTAATGGTGTTCTCACGTCGTCTGTCAGAGCCATCGGCAGGAAGACACTGGCTCCCAGGTGGGCAGTGCCTGGCAGGCAGGCCCTCGAGTCCAGCTGTCAGTCCAGGGGTGCGGCCTGGCCCAGACGCTGGGCACTTCGCTCTCCCTGCCACGGGGGCCCCGGGCATTCTCAGGGTCTTCCCTCCTCCTGCACTGGCCACCCAGCCATCCCCGTGAACGCCCCGAGCCCCAGCCACCATGAGGGCCCCAGAGCTGGGCCCATCACTGCTGGGGGGAGACGGCCTCACAGACGATGCCCTCCACCCGGAGCTGCCCCGACAAGGGCGTCCACAGTGCTGGAAGCGGCCAGGGGACACGAGGCAGCCTGCGCAGGACAGCATCAGCTGGAACTGGAGGGATCCAGAGAGGAAGGGTCCCGGGGCGGACAAGGGAGGCCAGGCCCCAGGCTGGCCCGGGAGGGGCCGAGGGGGACACAGCACAAACCTCAGAGGAAGGGGCCCCTCACAGCCGGCAGAATGAAAGGGTCCCCAAGACAGCCCCCATTTTGCAGCCAGAATAACTGAGGCGGGGTGGCCAGGGTCACATGCCATTTAGTGGGACAGGGGGTCTAATTCCTGAAGGGAGCACGTGGTATGGGGACCAGCCGGGCCTTCGGCGAGCAGGCCACTCACCCACATAGTTCTCGACGTCGCTGACATAGAAGGTGGGGGCCGGGACCGCCAGGCCCAGCCCATCTTTCTTGGGGACGAGAATGGGCTCAGCGAAGCCGTGCTCCTCCATGTAGCCCAGCGTGAGCTGGCTGCCCGGCACGCGGACCACCACGTCTTCCGCGCTGTGGAAAAAGTGGGGGTGGGGGGTCATGCCGGCCAGCGCCCCCGCCCTGCAGCTCTGGGACAGGCCTGGCTGTGGCCTCGGGGCCAGGGACACGCAGCCCCGGTTCCTGCCACACGCCTCCCACATCCTGGGAGGAGGGCTTGCCCACGCCCCGCCCCCCACATGCCCAGGGCTCCCGGGGCAGCCACAGGGCACAGACAGGGACCTCAAGGTCCAGGAGGCCCAGGATGGGGACACCCCGAAACCAGCCCTCCCACCATGGCAGAAAAAGGCACAAGTGTGAGCAAGCTCTCTCCCCCTCCTCCCCTGCTCTACCTGCCCACCCTCCACTCCACGAGACTCCTCCCTAGTGCTCGATATCACACCCTGCATTGGGCTGGGGTCAGGCCTGAGGACACGGCAGAGGGAGACAAACCCCTCTTCAGGGAGAACCCACCCCCGAGACAAGCTGAGCACAGGCCCCAGGGGCAGCTGTGGGCTGGGCCCTGCCGGGGGGGCCAGGGTCCTTGGGGACCCAGCTGGAACAGCACCGGTGGTGACACTGGAGACAGACTGTCATCAGAGGGGCAGGCAAGGCTGTAAGCCCACAGCTGAGAGCAGAGCTGGGGCTGGGGGGTGGTGGCAGGAGTCCGCGTCAGAGCAGCCCATCCAGGCCTGCAGGGGCAGCAGGGAGAGGCACAGGCCCTGGAGTGGGGAGAATGTGGCCAGGGTGAGCAGGGGCGAGATGCCAGGCGGCTGGGGGCCTGTCTGCCTGCTAGAGGGCTTCTGCCTCAAGCCAAGAGCACGGGGAGCCACGGGACAGCGTGCGCAGGGCGACCACAGCTGGAGGTCAGTCCGGTTGCTGTGCGGACGGACGGGGGCCTGCAGCAGGAGCAGGGGGGGCACCACGACTGTGGAGGAGGAGGCTCGGCACGTGCTGCCCGGGCCAGGGGGCGGCAGTGAGGGCGAGTGTGAAGAACGGGGGTGGCCGCGTGACCCAGGGGCCGGGGCCATGGTCTGAGGGCTGGAGGAAAGCAGGCGTGTGCAGGGGGCAGCCCAGAGCTGAGCTGCATGGACGTGGGCTGAGGCAAGTGTCAGACTTGCCAAGAGAGGCACCGGTGGGACAGACAGGTCTGGAGCTCAGAGGACCAGAGGCTGCAGAAGGAGGCTGAGCACGGGGCAGTCCGGGAGGCCAGGGGGGCGGACGTGAACTCTGAGGGCAGAGAGACAGCAGGGACCAAACTCCCAGGGAGAGCGGTCAGCAGGAGAGGAGGCCAGGCAGACGGAGGTGTCGCAGCTCCAAGGAGAAGGGGCTACAGGGCCACGGTCCGCCAAGAGGCCAGGGAAGGCGAGGATCGAGGCAACCCCCTGGGGCTGGAGCGCGGGGTGACAGAGCATTGGGCGCGGACCAGGCACAAGCGGCACGTGAGCCAGGAGGAGGAGTGCAGTGAGCAGCGGCTGGGGCAGCCGCAGGGCCATGGGGCCAGGGCAGAGTCAGCTGTGGGAGGCGCCGGACAAACCCGAATCCCCTGGCCTCACACAGCCCCATGCATCAGGTAAGGACCCAGCAAAGGCAAACACAGAACGGTCCTGCGGGGGTTGGCTGCCGTGGGAAACCACGCGCTCTGAAGGCCCCGCCTGACGGGCACAGGCGGACCATGGGCACGCCGGCAGACCCACGGGCCAGAGCGCAGGTCCCAGCACTGAGGACAGTGGACAACTGGGAAAGGGAGTTTCAGACAAACACACTGAACACATTCACGAGGTAACGGGGAGGATGGGGCAGAGAGCAGGGAGGGAGGAAAACAGAGCGGGCAGCGTGGACGAGGCATGAACAGAAATTCCAGACACGAAAAACATCATCTCTGAAAAATTTTAAAAACTCAACGATGCATTCAGTGGTAGCCGCCTGAAAATAATGGTGAATTTGATGAAATATTTGAAAAATAATATAGAGAATGGGGAAGAAGTGCCATTAAAAAAGAAAATAGAACATTTTTCAGAACTGAGGTAAGATATGATTCCTCAAATTAAAAGAACTGACTGAGTCCTGAGTAGAATTAATAAAAACCAAATGCACATTTGGGAGCATTGTAGCAGATCTGTGGTACATCAAGGACAAGGGGACAATCTTAACGTTTTCAGAGAAAAAAACAGATTTTTTGTCAAGCCAAACCGACCAAAACACCAGCCACTAGACTGACAATAGACATCTCATGAGCAACGAGAGATGCCAAATGACAATAGAATACTATCCTCAAAGAATTCAAGGAAAATAACTTTTACTCTCGAATTTTAGATCCATTTTAGAGAAATTAGAATCATTCAAGAGTAAGAATGAAACGAAAACATTTTCAAAAACAGAGACTATTTCTATAGGCCTTTACCGAACCACTAAAGGATAGTAATTCAACAAGAGGGAAATCGAATCTAGAAGAAAGAAATGGGGCTTGAGAAATAATGAAAAATTGTGCTGTGGATTTCACACAATCCCGATCAAAATACCCGCAGACTTCTCTGCAGAGACTGACAAGCTGAACTGGGAGTGCTGAATGGAAGCGCAAGGCACCCAGATGACCAAAACAATCTTTTTAAGAGAAGAACAAAGTTGAGGACACTTACCAATTTCAAAATTCACTCCAAAGCTACAGTAATCAAGACTGTGTGGTGCTGGCATGAGAAGAGAGAAGAGACACACGGATCAGTGGGGCAGAAGCAAGCGTCCAGAAATAAACCCAAACATCTACGGTCAACTGCTTCGCATCAAGAGCGCGAAGACAACTCAATGGAGAAAAAATAGTCATTTCAACAAATGGCACATGGGAGAACTGGATGTCCACATGCAAAAGAATGAAGCGGGAGCCCTACCTCACATCACATACACAAATTAACTCAAAATGAGTTGAAGACCTAAACATAAAAGCTAGAACCATAAAGACGTTCAGAAGAAAACACAGGCATAAATCTTCATGACCTTGAATTTGGCAATCGTTTCTCAGAAGCCAAAACCATAAGCAACAACAACAAAATAAATTAGACCCCATCAAAATTATAAACATTTGTGTTTCAAGGGACACCATCAAGAAAGTGGAAAGGCAACCCACAGAATGGGAGAAAGTACCTGATAAGTGACAAGTATCCAGAATATGTAAAGAACTGTTACAACTCAACAATAAAAAGATAACCAATTAATTAGACAGGGTTACAGTAACTTAGAGTTGACTTCTGGTTTCGACTTCAACACGTAAAGAGCTTGGAAATGGTCACTCCTGTCCTCACAAGAAAAAAGGCTGAACAAACTGAAAATCAACAAATTTTCTTAGACTCACAGAGAATTAGGGTTATAGGGCAAACAGCCACCCCCGAAATCTGGGGCGACAGGCAAATACAGAAAATCATAACCAAGATAACCTTACCTGAGGCAGAAGCTGCTGGAGGCGGTCAGTGGGAGGAATACTTAAATGGCATTTTTTCACAAAGTGCACAGGTTGAGTGCGAACTAGCTTCAGAGGTAAGAACTCATGGGGGCTCCGTCTCAGAGGAGACCCAGACTTTCATGGGTTTTACCTCAGGATGTCCTGGTGAAGATGTGCTCCTACTTCAGGTAGGGTTGCGGGGAAGCGACTATGTTTCTCCTCCATAACAAAAGTCTACCTTCCAAGAGAACTGACTTAACCAGGCCCTCATCTGACAGGGGGAAGGGCCAGTGGCCACCTCCAGCCCCCACTGGCTTCCTGTCTCAGGAAAGTAGAGAAAAAGCAAAGGCCAAGAAATGCTTCCAAAGGTAACAGCCCAGAGCCTCAGGCCCACTGAAGCACTGAGGTTTACTATTCAATTATAGAACACTTCCCCTCCCCAAACCATATAACAGATAACAGTTGAGCATAATTCAGAGAGCTGCAAGACAGATTCCATTTAAGAAGTTGTTGTTAAGGGGCGCCTGGGTGGCTCAGTCGGTTAAGCCACTGCCTTCGGCTCAGGTCATGATCCCAGGGTCCTGGGATCGAGTCCCGCATCAGGCTCCCTGCTCAGCGGAGAGCCTGCTTCTCCCTCTCCCTCTCCCTCTCCCTCTCCCTCTGCCTACTTGTGTTCTCTCTCTATCTCTCTGTCAAATAAATAAATAAAATCTTAAAAAAAAAAAAAAAAAAGAAGTTGTTGTTAGGGAAGCCCAAAGAAAACAGGGAGGAGGGAAAAACAAGGTAACTACGGGAAAGTGATGTGTCTGGCACCTACAGCCACAGTGGACACAGCTTAGTCCCTAGTCAGGTCAACATGAAACCTCACTCTAAATGCATAAGTACCTCAGTTCATTTGACTTGATACATCACGTCCAGCTTTCAACAAAAAAATCACAAGGCATGCTAAAAGGCAAGAAATCCATAGTATAAAGAAACAAAGCAAATCACCCCACACCTGTCAGAATGGCTAAAATCAAAAAGACAAGAAATAACAGGTGTTGGTGAGGATGTGGAGAAACGGGAACCCTCATGCACTGCTGGTGGGAATGCAAACTGGTGCAGCCACTCTGGAGAACAGTATGGGGGTTCCTTACAAAATTAAAAATATAATCCAATAATCATACTATTGGGTATTTACCCCCAAAATACAAAACATTAATTCAAAGGGATAAATGCACTCCTACGCTTATTGCAGCATTATTTATAATAGCCAAACCATGGAAGCAGCCCAAGTGTCCATCCATACATGAATGGATATAGAAGATGTGGTGTACATACACAATGGAATATACTCAGCCATTAAAAAGAATGAAATCTTGGGCACCCAAGTGGCTCAGTTGTTAAGCGTCTGCCATCGGCTCAGGTCATGCTCCCAGGGTCCTGGGATTGAGCCCTGCATTGAGCTCCCTGCTCCACGGGAAGCCTGCTTCTCCCTCTCCCACTCCCTCGCTTGTGTTCTCTCTCTCGCTATCTCTCTGTCAAATAAATAAAATCTTAAAAAAAAAAAAAATGAAATCTTGCCATTTGCAACGACATAGATGGAGCTAGAGAGCATTATGCTAAGTGAAATAAGTCAAAGAAAGACAACTACCATATGATTTCACTCATATGTGGAATTTTAAAAAAACAAATGAACATAGGGAGGAAAAAGATGCGAGGCAAATCAAGAAACAGACTCTTCACTACAGAGAACACACTGATGGTCACAAGAGGGGAGGTGAGTGGGGGGATGGGGGAAATAGGGGAGGGGGCTCAAGAGTACACTTATCCTGATGAGCACTGAAGTGATGTATAGAATTGTTGAATCACGGGGTGCCTGGGTGCCTCAGTCCGCTAAGCATCCAACTCTTCATTTTGGCTCAGGTCATGATCTCTGGGTCATGAGATCAAGCCCCAAGTCCAGCTCCGGGCTCAGCACAGAGTCTGCTTGAAATTCTCTCTCTCTCCCTCTGCCTCCCCCTCTGCCCCTCCCCCTGCTCATGTGCTCACTCGCTCTCTCAAATAAATAAAATCTTCTAAAAAAATTGTTGAATCACTATCTTGTACACCTGAAACTAACATAATATTACACTATATGTTAATTATACTACAATTAAAAAATAAATAAAAAGTTTAAAAAATATCAGAACACAGCTCAGATATAGCACAGAATTTGGAATTATCAGACAGGAAATTTTTTAAAACTGGGGCACCTGGGTGGCTCAGTTGGTTGGGCATCTGCCTTCAGCTCAGGTCATGATCCCAGGGTCCTGGGATCGAGCCCCATGTCAGTCTCCCTGCTCAGTGAGGAGCCTGCTTCTCCCTCTTCTGCCCCTCCCCACCGCTCACGCATGTGTGCGCGCTCTCTGTCTCTCAAATAAACAAAATCTTTAAAAAATAAAATAAAATAAAACTTTTAAAAAATTATGATTAAGGGGCACCTGGGTGGCTCAGTTTTTAAGCGTCTGCCTTCGGCTCAGGTCAGACCAAGCTCTGCATCAGGCTCCCTGCTCGGCAGGAAGCCTTCTTCTCCCTCTCCCATTCCCCCTGCTTGTGTTCCCTCTCTCACTGTGTCTCTCTGTCAAATAAATAAATAAAATCTTTTAAAAAAATTATGATTAATATGTTAGGAGTGCTAGTGGAAAAAGTGGACAACATGCAAGAATGGAAGGGAAATGTAAGTAGAGAAGTGGACGCTCTAAGAACCAAAAGTAAATGATAAAAATAATTGAAAACTGTAACAGAAATGAAGAATGCCTTCGATGGACATGGCTAAGAAAAGAATCAGTGAGCTAGAAGTTAAGTCAATAAAATCCGCCCAACCTGAAACACAAAGAGAAAAAAAGAATGAAAAAAGCAGGGAATAGGATATCCAAGAAGTGGAGAACAACTGCAGAAAGAGTAACATATGAATGTTGGGAATCCCAGAAAGAAAAGAAAGAGAGAGAGGAGAAGAAATGTTTGAAGCAATAATGGCTGAGAATTGTCTAAAAATAATGGCAGACGTGGAACCACAGATCCAGAAAACTCAAACAACACCAAGCAGGATAAGACCCCAAACTATTCGTAGGCATGTCATAATCAAACTGCAAAAAATGAAAGACAGTAACTTGAAAAAGGCCACATGAGCAAGATCTACTTCTGCCATAACAGCGTGAAGAGCTCCACTGACCCACACCCCGGCGAAACTGGTAAAAATTATTTTTGAAAAACATTCAAAACCTCTGGAAATGATTCTAAGAGCAAACAGCAAATGAAGAAACATCTAGTAGAGAAAATCTACAAAAACTTGGTAGGAAAGGCAAGAGTGTGTGACCACTCCTCTCTTCACCTCCCTGGCTTGATGAGGAGACTCCCCTCTGGAAGGCTGCAGCCAAGGACACAGGAATGCTGCCTGGGAGGGCTCCCCAGCTTCCAGGCAGAGGGATTTCCTCCTGGAGGAAAAGGACAGCAGTCTTTCTCATCCAGCCCCAGCTGTCTATGGCTGATTCTAAGTGTTGGGTGAGGGCAGCCAAGACATGGGGGCTCCCTTCTTCCACCTGGCCCACAGGTACTGAACCCGTACCCTGAATGTGGCACCCTGAGAATAGTGGGGCCCTGGTCACCCCCTGCCCAGCCTCTTCTACTCAACAGCCGACTAGAAGTCCTAGCCAGAGCAATTACGTAAGAAAAAAAAAAGTAACACAGATTGGAAGGGAAGAAAGAACATGACCTATTTGCAGATGACATAATCCTGTATATAGAAAGATGTAAGGAATTACTAAAAAGCTATTAGAACTAATAAACTAGCTCATCAAATTTGCAGGATACAAGATAATATTCAAAAATATACTGTATTTCAGTACAGTAGCAATGAAATAAGAAAACAGTTTCATTTAAAACACATCAAGAAGAAAAAATTTAGGAATAAATTTAACAAAAGAAGTACAAAACTTATACTCTGGAAACTATAAAACACTGTTGATGGAAATTTAAAAGATCTCAATAAATGGCAAAATATCCATGTCCATGGGTTAGAAGACTGAGCATTTTTCAGATGGCAATACTCTGACTCTCCTGCTCTACAGATTCACCATAATCCTTATCAGCTGACTTCTCTGCAGACTCAACAAGCTGAATCTAAAATTTGTATGGAATTGCAACAGACCCAGAATGCCAAAATGATCTTTAAAAAGAAAAACAAAGTTGGAGGACTCAACACTTCTTCATTTCAAAACATACTGCAAAGTACAGTAATCCAGACAGTGTGAGACTGGCCTAAGGGTAAACAGAGATTAGTGGTGCAGAACTGAGTGTACAGAAATAAATGCATACACTTATAGCTAAGGGCCAAGGCAATTTAATAGAAAAAGAACTTTTTTTTTTTTTAAGATTTTATTTATTTATTTGACAGAGAGAGACACAGCGAGGGAGGGAACACAAGCAGGGGGAGTGGGAGAGGGAGAAGCAAGCTCTCCGCTCAGCAGGAGCCCAATGCAGGGCTCAATCCCAGGATCTGGGATCATGACCTGAGCCAAAGGCAGATGCTTAACCGACTGAGCCACCCAGGCGCCCCAAGAACTATCTTTTTACAAATGGTGCAGGGACAAATGGAGAGCCACATGCAAAAAAAAAAGATCCTTACCTCACACTATACGAAGAAATTAACTCAAAAAAATTTAGATCCTTACCTCACACTTGAAGAAATTAACTCAAAATGTATCAAAGACCAAACTGTAAGACCTAAAAACTATAAAACTCTTAGAAGAAAACATAGGGATAAATCTTCATGACGTTGGGTTTAGACTTGGCAAAAGATCCTCAGCTATGACAACAAAAACACAAATAACAAAATAAAAAATGGATAAACTGGACTCCATCAAAATGGCGAACATTTGCGCTTCAAAGAACACAACCGAGAAAGTGAAAAGTCTACAAAACAGGGTAAAGTATTCACAAATCATATGTCTGTTAAGAGACTTCTAAAATATGGAAAGAATTCTTATGACTAAATAATAAAAAGACACAAAAAATTAAAAATAGGCAAAGGGTCTGAACTGACATTTCTCCAAGGAAGACATACGAACGACCAGCACGCACATGAAAAGATGCTCAACATCACTCATCATTAGGGAAATGCGGATCAAACCAGAGTGAGGGAACACCTCACACCTACAAGGATGGTTAGAATCAAAGCGCCAGGTTATTACAAGTGCCGGTAAGGGCGATGAGAAACTGGAACCCTCATGCTCTGCTGGTGGGATCAGAAAGCGGTGTAACCACTTTGGAAAACGGTCTGGCAGTTCCTCAGACAACTGAATACAGAGCTACTCCTAAAAACATGAAAACATATGTCCAACAAGATCTTGTACAAGAATGTTTACAGCGGAAATATTCACAGTAGCCAAAAATCAGAAATAACCCAAATGTGTCTACTGATGAATGGATAAAAAAAATGTGGTCCATCCACACAACAGAATATTAAGTAAAAACTTTGGGGTGATGAAAACGTTCTAAAATTGGCTGTTGGTGGTGCCCACATCTGTGAATATACTAAAGACCACCGAATCGTACCCTTCAAATGGGTGGACTGTATGGTATGTGAGTTATATCTCAGGGAAAGTGGGGGAAAGAAAGAAGCCAGAGGAGGGAAGGACCTTCTCCACGCAGGGTCACAGGTAAGAGTCACACTGGATTTCTCATCAGAAATCATGCATGCAAGAAGACAGTGGAGCGAAATATTTGAACTGTTAAAAGGAAAAACCCCACCACGCAGGATTCTGTGTCCAGTGAATTACTCTTCAAAAGTCGAGGGCAAACAAAGACGTTGTCAGACAAACAAAAAAGTCTTCCAGGCGTGAGGGGCCGACGTGGCCCAGAGCAGCTTTAAGAACACAGGTCCTCGTGCCAGGTGCTACTTCTCAGCAGCGGTTCCCCACAGACCCTGCCCCTGCCCCTGCCCCTGCCCTCAGCCCTCCGCCCTCACGCAGGACACAGGTGGGAGCGGGGAGCGCCCTGAGATGGGGACCCGGGGACAGCATGCCAGGCCCAGGGGCACAGAGGAAAGGCCGGGCCCATGGGGGCTCGGGGCTGCCGTGTCTGGAGGGTGGTCTTAAGCAGGACCCCAGGCCCCGCTGCTCGACTGGACATAACCTGAGGACAGCAGCCTGTCCCTCAGGAAGGCTCCGTGCAAAGGGCGACCCCAGGTGGGGGACCTAGACGCGCCCAGAGGAAGAGGGTCCCCAACAGCTGTGTCTGCAAGTGCTAAGAAGGGAGAGGCCGGCCGCAGAGCCAGAGGTGCCTAGGGTTTCGGGGGGGTGCACCACTCCCCTGGCGGGAAGGCCATGCCCCTGAGCCCCAGGAGGATGAGGCCGCTGCCGCCCACCTGGGGAAGGTCCGACTCCGCAGCTCCTTGATGAAGAGCTGGCTGCCATTCTGCACGGGCTTCACGTCGGGCGTCTGCCCCGGGCCATGTTTGTGCCAGGCCCTCTTCTTCTTCACTGTGGGGAGACAGGGGCAGCTCAGGGACCCAGCTGGGAGGGCAGCCAAGGAGCCATCAACTCCTTGCTGACTCAAGCCTCCCTGGAGGCAAAGCCCTCGAGGTCCCCTGGGGGCCCGGCCCACCCGCCTCCCTAACCCCGTGACCTCCCCACCCACCCCCACCCTGCACCTGCCAAGCCTCTGGCTCAGTGACCACACCCAGAAGCTAGGGTGCGTAGTGGCCTTTCCACTGGCACCCAGTCTGCTGGGACCTCTGCTGCCCCAACAGCCCACAGCTGGGGCACAGGCAGGCTGGCGCTTCCCACTGTAGCTTCTGCCCTCCTCACCCCTACCGTGCGCACCTCACGCTCCCCGGTGTGTCCACCCCTGCAAACTACCATCCTGCCTGCTCCCTCCGACTCTCCTGTCCTCACGCGTGCTCCCAGGACACTGGGCTCCCGACGGTGGACTTTTTACACGAAAGTGGGTGCACATGCGCCTACCAGATGTGACATATTTGCACACACGTGCACAAGCACACGCGTGTGTGCACACCCACACATACACGCACCCCCCCCCCATGGGACGCAAGCCCAGGAAGGGAGGGAAGTGATCTCCTTGTGGCCCCCACCCCGCTCAGGGCAACCCCTGGTGGCTCGGAGTGAGGACAGCGAGGACAGCACTGGCCCGGAGACCTGTCCCTGGAGGCTGCCGGGCGGGTCTGGAACAGGCTGGAGGAGACCGGATGTGAGGGATGGCCCGTCGGCCCTCCGATGCCTGTCCTTCACAGACAAGGACGGGGAGGAGGCTGCCACCCCTCCCCACCTCCCGTCCCGTCACAGACCCGAGACTGTCTCCAACGACAGCGCACTATCTCGATCGTGCTTGGTCTGCCACAGCCAGGTCTGAGTGGACGCTCTCGAAACCTGTCCAGATCCTGCAAAGGGGGGCCTCCAAGCTGGGGCCTCTGGTGGCACCAGGCACAGAAGGAAGATCAGAAGGGCCCGGGTGCCTGCCCAAATCTTTCTTTTCCCCCACCTTGTCACTGTGTGGCCTTGGGCAAGTTGCTGGGCATCTCTGTGCTGCATCTTCAATAGAGAGGGGCTAGTCCTGACCTCCTGACTCCTCGTGAGCCACAGGAGGCAAACGATGTGTGGCACCCAACCTGCCCCAGGAGCTCTTGGGGGGCACACTGTGCAAGCATGGCCCCTCCTCTTGGCAAGGCTGTTTGGGCTGCAGGCCCTTGTTCACAGGGCTCAGTCCTGCTCCAGACCTCCGGGCTCTCCCCCCGAGCCCACTGAGCCTGGCACAGCCTGGCACCAGTGGGCACGGGGGGGCGGGTGGTGAATGGCGGGTCTCCTGGGTGCTGCACTGGCCCCTCAGTCCCGCTGAGCAGCCCAGCTCTGCACGGGGGTCGCCAAAGCCACAGGTGGCCTGGGAGTCATCCCTGCTCCCCAAGGAGCCCAGCAGGCTCAGGCTGGGGGTGGGGGCACCCAAGGCCAAGGCAGGGACCGGGGACACCACCCTGACGATGGCCCAGGTCACCCTGACTCTGAAACCAGTCTCCATGTCATCATCCCTTCTGCTGGGCCTGCAGCTGCCTCAAGACGTGAGCCCGGCCTGCCTCACACGCACGGGCCTCTGGAGTCTCCAAGGAGCTCCCCCTGAAGGGCCTGGGGAGGGAGGGTAGCTGTGCACGGCCACAGAGGAGCGTCATGGGCCTCGGCAATCGGCTGCCCACACCAGGGGGGGCCTCCCTGCCTTTGCCCAGTGGGAGGCGAGCCTGGCTCTTGGGGCACCCCCACTTACGAGGGGTCCAGCGCGTCCAGGGCCTTGAGGAGGAGAAGGGGAAGCCCAGGCCACAGGCTGGTAGCCGTGAGTAACACCACAGGTAGGGAAGACCAGCAGAGAGAGAGGCATCCCTGTGCAGTCTAGGGGGCAGCAGAGGACCCCACTTGGGCCCCCCAAGGGCCTCCAATGCCAGCCCCTGCATCTGCCCCTCACCCCACTTCCCAAGGTCTCCCCATGGAAGGTGTGCAGAGGCCGCGAGGACGCAGATGCCCAGCAGGAGGGCCCTGGCCCAGGACATCATGTGGGGAAACTGAGTCTTGGAGGGCGGCCGGGGGCCGGGGCCGCGAGTGTAAAGGGCAGTGTGAGAAAGCAGCAGCACACCCACGTGCCCGCCAGGGGCTGGGCCTGGGAAGCAGCGCTGCCCACGGCTGCTGGCCTTCCTGGGCCCTCACTCGGGATGAGGCATCGAGAGCAGCTCAAGGACACTGCGGCTAAAGCTCAGGGCTGGGACAACAGCCCGACACAGAGCCGCAAGGGAGGCAGGGTGAGCGTCCCGGGGTTCCCTGTGCAGCCCTGGCTGGTGCGCTCCTTCCCTCCCCGGGGCCCAGGACACCCTGAGCCCCAAGGCCGAGTGTCCTCTTGCCTGTGTGTCCCTGACGAGGCACCCTGGAGACCTCGGCCCAGCAGGAGCCTGGGGCGTTGGGTGACAGGTGCCCTCAGGGCACCATGGCTACAGGGCCTCGGGAAGGAGAGATGCAGCCCTGGGCAGTCAGGGAGGCCGCCCCCGAAGCAGGCACGCTGGGGCCAGAACTGCTCTCAGGGCCGCCCAAGCCTGTGAGCCTTCCCCTTAGTGGGGACTCCTCGCCAAGTTCCCTGGGGACCCTCAGGCCCCAACTCTGTGTGAATCGGGCGAGCGGGTGGGCCCCCGTCCTCACCTCAGCGTGCCCACCACAGACCCACACAGGGCCCCCAGAGCAGCCCACGGGCCTGGGGGTCCCCTGGGGATGTGGGCAGGATGAAGGTCCTCACCGTGCAACGTCTGACTGGAGAAGAAGCGGCAAACGGACCGGCGCGTCCCAGCGACACAGACCCAATTCAAGGGCAGAGCGACGCATGACTGGGCACGCGCCCTGGCGGGAAACGCTAGTTCCCACACTCTGCACAACGGCCACGCAGCCTCCAGTAACAGCAGGGAAAGCCCAATTCACAGGATTTATGAAGCACATGTGCACATGCACACACACACACGAGCATCAACCTGTGCACACACACACTCACACGCACGTGTCCACGCTCGTGCACACACGTGTCCATACACACAGATGCTCGTGCACGTGTTCACACTTGTGCGCACGCACACTCAC